AACCACCACAGTTTTCTTGATAGGTGACTTGAGAGTTTTCATACTTCATCGTTTCCTGGTAGCACTCCTCCTCCATTATTTTACACTGCTTTGCTCCCGCCCAAGAAGAAAGCCTTCTGAACACTGTTCGGTTTTGTTGTTGTTTGTTGTTTTTTTGTCTGTTTGTGGTTTGGTGTTTGCTTTTTTTTTTTTTTTTTTTTAAAGTATTTAATGTTTGATGCTATTATCTAAGTATATCCTGCTTTTCAAATACCAAAGCCAAAAACTGAGCATATGACAACACAATGCTAAGTACTCAGTGTGATACCAGATTAGCAGAGGTCCTGCCTAAATACTCTGATGCAGTGCCCTGATCAATAACAAGTAACAGTTGGCCAGTTTGAGCACGGCGTTACACAAGCCAGTATAGCAATCAACAGAAAAGAGCAACTGGGTATTTCATATTCCACAGGCAGCGATGAAATCTGATTTTTTAACTCCTTTATATATATATCACTGGAGTTGGGCATCTCGTTATACAGATATGTTCATTTTGTGGCTCTTTAATACAGTTGCTACTTCATAAGGTACAGATACTAATTATAAACACATTTCTCTGTATTTTTCAAAACTGACTTCAAACTACTAATAAATCTGAATTAGAATTGGTTTTAAATGTCTTCATTTTTCCCCATGACAATAATGAAGCATTACTTTATAATTATTTACTCACTAAAAATAATAATTAATATATAAAACCCGTATTTAAAACTATTTTCTCAAGCTGCAACAGAACATGAAGATGTTTCTTTTGTTAGACATTGCAATGCAATTTCTTCACAAGAACTGGAAGTATCAACCCCCTCTGGCCATTCAGGCTCACATCCTTCCCTACTGCATGACTTCCCCACCAGTCCTCCTTTCCTTCCTCCCTGAATTTGTTTTATTAAGTACATTTGACTGTTCTCTCTGTAACAGTTTAGAAGAATAGAGGATCAGGCTCTGTGTCATTTTGCAAAGAGCACAGTATTTGCCTTTACTCTTTGGCATTTATTTCCCGTGCAGGATGCGCAATCTCCAGAAATGAAGCATGATTAGAAATGCCAACCAAAATGTCACATTGCCCAGCTGCTGACATCTGAAGTATTCACCCACCTGCTTGCTCCAAAGCAACCATTGTTGCCTGCTCAATTAAGTCTCGTTCAATGAAACTTCTGAAATCTTCACTGTACACGCTAAGGTCTGGTAGCTGGAATGTGTAGATGGGCATCTCCAGAGGGAACTGTTCATTGCTGCACTCATTTGCTACATGTGATCGAGCAAGGGAGACTATGGCTGAGCTGGCGTGCGATATACCTCTGGAAAGACGCTTTTCTGTAGGGGAAAGCGAAGAGATATTACAGCCTGTAAGACTGCAGTAAAACACCAGTCAACAGCAACCCTATTGAATGTCCATTCATTTAATTTAAGAATTTATTCCTCTTCTTGTTTGTTTCCTTTTTGGGGTTATTTCCCTACTGTAAAAGATTGCTGAGTTCTTACTATGGATCTCTATGGCATGTCACAGGAACTTCACCGTCCTTCTAGCAAAACAGATACACAGTAAAAGTAATGAGATATGAAAGATGACTATTCCTATAAAATTTTTTTAAATGTATTTCAGGCTTCCAAAGATGTATTGGAAGAAACATTTACTGGCAGACAGATGATAATTAATGTTTAGACCTCTTAAGCTGACCTCTTGTGAATCAAAAAATCCAGCATTCTCCAATCATTTCTTATCAAATTTGCCTGTTTTAATCTCAGAACAATCCACCTGACAGCAACTTTAACATCATTATGTTGAATTTAAGACAAACCCAGGTTTTATGCGTATGTTTTTTTTTTAAAATCCTGATCTGAGAAACCATACATAGTTCAAAAAGAATGATGACATTAACAAGCCAAGAATTTTATTCAAATAACTATGAGCCAATACCATATATTTCACTGAACTTCTCTGTGGACAAATGCTATATCATAAACAATAAAGGGCCATTAAAGCAAAATAAGCATTAGAATGTTAAGAAAGGGACAAAGTATTACTATATCATTTCACTTAACTACATGGCCTCGGCCTGCTCTCAGCAAATGGGTAACAAAAATACTCTTCAAGTGCTTAAACCATCGAATCATTCAGTCAAACCAGTAAGAAGTATTTTCCCTGTGTTTAGTTTCTACCCTGTACTCCTGTTTATATTTTTTAAAACTGTAATTAATATGTTGTAGCTGCTTGAAGTTTACGGACATCAAATGTTATTAGTCTTCCCTCTCAGAAGTTTAACATTCAGCATAAAGTTTCTTTCTGCACTCCTTGGAACCATGGTACCACTGTCTTTTCTGTACTTCAGACAGACTTGATTTCAGGTCTCCTGCAGAGCTCTGCTCTTTTGTAGCCATCCTTCACCAAGGGATGACCTCAATACCAGAAAGTCTCCTGGGCATTTCACTGTATTTTGTTAGTGACTTGAAACGAGGTTTATGGAGTTTCTTACAGTTTTGAATATGTAGAAAGCTTCCTCGTGGGATTTACATAATGTTAGGTTAGATAATTTTTTCACTGATTTTCCTTGGAAATGGGTACCTTATTGCACTGCAGACTTTTGTAAAAAAACTATTTGGTGCAACTTCACCTCCGTAGTTTCATAAATACTACCATAAACTAGCCTTTAGTGATCAACTCTCAAACATGTACAATGCTGTACTAAAATAAAAGAAGTCCCTGTACTTCTGTGCCTTCAGAAATTAACAAAGAAGCTTAAATGCAGCTTATCACTTAGGTTAATAGTGGTTTTAAAACATCTCACACTGACTAATGGTTATTTTAAAACTCCTTTTCCTGGTATTTGTGCACTTTTATTTCTCTAATGCATCAAACTTTTTCTAATTTCAAGAGCTAAGTTGCACTCGCTAGAATATCCTATATTGGGAAGAGGGGTAAATGGCTTGATTACATTCCCCTTTATTTCTTCTCCCTGTACATCTCAGTTACATCACTTTTGCACAAAGTGATAGCATCTTCATTTGACAGCCCCTTGCTACCACTCCATCACCCCTTCCCACCATGGTCCAGCCCTCACCTGTTGGCTGCATCCTCCACTTCAAGTACTTGGTCCGTAATAAGACCCTCCTGTCCTTGCTTTGCTCTTCCCTGAACATTCTCCTCAACCCAGCTGCACATTTCTGTCTTGTTTCTCATCATGAGCTCATCAGTTATATGATAAATTGGTGGCTAAGTTACTGTCAGGCCAGGCATTTAATGCCAGACTTACCCTATGCTACCTACTACACTCACTGAAAAATCAAATGGCCATTTCAGTGTAAACTGGGCAGTTTACTAATATGGAACATCAGAGTGAGCTATACCCTAAGAAGGATGAAGGGGCACTACAGTGTGCTACTCTTCCTCCCTTGTATTCAGTGCTTTTAAGGAGTTTTAAGATGCACTAAACTTCCTTTTCTACCAGTGGAAGTTATCAGTTTTTTAATATAAAAAGCTTTACTGACACTCCTAAGTACTGATGCCATTTCCTGGTTAATATGAGGGAAGAGCTAGCAGAAGAAGGAAAGACTTTCTGTTCCTTTTAATGATTGCATAGAAAGCCATCACCAAGTTAGTGCTATTACATCCCTACATGACAAGCTGTCAGACCTGTAGATTTATTTGGGGGCAATCAACGGTTTCTTGATAAATTTATATTAAAAAACAAAAAGCATTCCAACAGTCTGAGAGAGATAAGAGATGTGAAATAAAAGTTATAAGAGTTGTGCAAATGAAAAAGTCAATTCTAATGATTATCGTCCAACACTGGAAATAACTGACAGAGGCAGTCAACTAATTTTTCTTAATTCTATTTGGCAGGGTATACAAGGTTGTCCTTTTTTCCATGGAACCACAAAAGAACAAAATTTTAAAGCTGAAAGTTATGCACAGATTTCATACATCTTAATCACATACTGTAACAATTCAAAGACTGAAATATGGAATTTTTTTAACTTTTTTTTGTCTCAAACACAGAAAACTACATACAACAGTGGTCTGTAACACTCAATATCCTTTCGTATGTAACACAGGAGTGCTTGGGGACAACATTTTTTGTACTTGAATCACACATTAGAGAAATAATTTGCAGAACTGAGGCAAAGCTCATGGCAACAGAACTGGGAAACACGGGGTCCAGCAGCAGCTCTGTGAAACCCATCACAATGGCAGAGTTCACAGGCTGATGGAAAATGACTTCCAGCTCCCTGCAGACAAGCTAGAAAGATGCTTGTCTGCAAAAACCCTAGAGGAGAGGTCTTACCTTGAGCAGTGTCATCCTGCCTTTGCAGGCAGGGCCGCTCAGCCTTCGTCACCTGGGGAGGCTGCTCTGGCTCCTGCTGCTTGCAGTATTTGCCCTCATTGAACACCTGTGGGAGGTTGGCCGTGTGCACCTGCCGGAGCTGCTCATAATCATTTAAAGCCGCCGTCAAGTCCCAGTTTTTGCCTGCCAAATAGCAAAAGGATATTCTGCTCACATCTATATGTAACCAGATTGGTAACCTGGAAATCATCTTTATATGGACTTCAAATATTAACTTAAATAATCAGTCTTTCTTAAAGCTTCAGCAAGGAAACTGGTTCTTCGGATAAAACATTTTACAATGACTCCTTCCTCAACAAAAACACACAGCTGATAAACACCTTGAAAGTACACGGCAAACAGACAAAGATAGAACTTTTTTTTAATGTATATTTTCATTTTCTTTATATCATAATTGGAGAATACCTCAGGAAAGCTCTTGTCCAACCCTCTGCTCAAAGTAGGGTCAGCTGTAAGATCGGACTACGTTGCTCAGGGCTTTATTAAGTTCGGTCTTTAAAGTGCCATGGATGGAGGCTGCACAGCCTCTCTGGGCAAATTCTTCTCACATCCGACAGTGTTCATGTGACCTATGTCCACACAAACTTTCTCATTTCAACTTATACCCATCAGCCTTGTCTTCCTGCCACGCACCTCTGTGAAGAGCTCAGCTCCAGCTCCTTAGTAACCCTCTTTCCGGCACTAGAAGGCTGCTGTTAGATCCCCTCAAGGCCTCCCCCTGCCTTTCTAGCCTGAACACGCCCCACTCCCCTCAGCAACTCTGCACAGGACTTGTGCTCCAGCCCTCAGCAACTTTTGTGGACTTACCCTGAACTCAATCCAATTTACAGCTGCTTTCCTTGGATTGGGAGTGGGGAACAAAATCAGGGACAGTATTATAAATCTTGCAAGGAGTGCTGAGTAGTGAGGTATAAATTACTTCACTCGGTCTACAGACTATGGTCTTGTTGATGGAATTGCGTATTGCTGGCTTTCCTAGCTGTCAGGGCACATGGCTGCTTCATGTGCAGCTTGCTGGCTACCAAGACCTCCAGGTCTTTTCCCCTCAGTCCTCTATCATTGCATGGGGTTCTTCCTTTCCAGGTGCAGAACTCCAGTGATCATCCTTGTTAAATTTCATCAGATTCCTACTGGTCAGTTGTCTTGCACTGTCTAGGTTCCCCTGGATGACAGCTCTGCCCTTGAGAACATCAGCCAGTCCTCCCAGTTCATGCCCTCAGCAGATTTGATGTTGCCTCACTGATAAAGACTTTAACATGTATAGACCTTAGGTACAGCATCTGTTACCAGCTTGCAGGTAGAAAGCTATCCATTAACCATTACCCTCTGAGCCTGACCATCAAAACTGTTATTTGCCTATCTAGTTATCCACCCAGCCAGACTGTAACATCCTAACTTGAACATAG